CTTTCAATTCAACGCTAATTATTACAAGCTCTTAACGCCTATCATAATGTTTTATGATATCTTCTAATGTTTTACTATACCGAAGTAGCTGTATTGTGCAATTAGATCGGAAAGAAATTAAATTATTAAAGATTTTTATGAGTAAATTTGTGATGTTAATTTATTTGTAAGCGCTATTTTATTATCTAAAACCAATGAACCCAAAAAATTCAATTCCCAGAAACAAGCCATAGCTAAATCATGATAAAATAGAAGTAGCGATTAAGATAATGTTGAAAACAAATTTATATTCCGATTCCTTGGAGTAGATTAAATTATTTTCTTGTTGCTTCTGAATCCAGTTTGTAGAGTCATAAGCGCCGGCAGGGTGAAAAGGGGCTAAGGTAGAAACGGGCACACCGGAAGGAGACAGAAAGCTCACTGTGCTTTGGCCGACTTCATACCATAAAATATTACACCAAACGAAAGAAGCTCTTTCAATTAACCGAGGCAGGTTTGCGTAAGGTAAATCTTAGCAGGAGCCCCCGCTGTTGCAACTTTAGACATTTTTTGCAAACGCATTTTCTTGTTGTCTTATTGTTACCTTAAATTAGAGACACTATATTGGACGGTTTGTATTCACATAGTATTATTATTGAACAGTTACAAAATACTGTATGAAATCCTACAGAGGGTAGAATCTATGGTATAATATGCTTATAAACACAGGATGCAAAATACACCTTCCTCCTTCCTCCCTATTGCAGGAGCGTCGTGTATGAAGTCGATGGGTATATAGTGTTTAGAGATTGACCCGATCAGTATTCATGAGCTTATTAATGTGCTCCAAAGATCCTGTCGCCATGACTTTGAATGTGTATAGATTGTGCGACAGGGGTGGGCAGGTCGGCATCGGCACCCGCTCTAATCGACCAGAAGTGATATGCTACTTGATGAATGATGATGAGGTTTACCTTTCTCGTTGGTAAAATATAAAATTAATGATAATCTTTTGGAAATACTGGTTAATATATATATATATATATAATATAAATATTTAAAAATAGTATTGATGTTTATTGTTAAACCCATATTACTGTACAAGCTACTAAATGTACTATTAGGTTCTTTGAGTCGGTTGGCATTAGAGCATATTATATTTTTTACTGTTATAAAAGACAAGTAATATAAAGTAATATTTTATATGGTTTTCAAATACCTGCCAAATCCACAGCTGGCGATAGAATAATATTTATGATCAAGACTAAACTAAAGACTAATAAAAACAATGCGACTTGTGACTTACGGGAAAAATGATTTTAGAATAGAAACGTTATAGACGTAACATGAACAAATGAGATGACTGAATCAAAATTAAATTGAAAGGAATTAAAAACGCAGAATAAAAATGAAATACTTAATGGAACAGGTCGAAATTATGTGGATATACGCTACATATAATACAAATAATACATATTTATAAAAATAAATTTAAACTTTTGTAAAATTATAAATTGAATTAATAACTGCGTATATTTTTCATATGCTATTTATTGAATCGCACCATAAACAACATGAAGCAGTATTAAGTATAAAAACGTGTGTTTATCAGAGAGGAGATTCCGAATATGGGCTACAGTACTATTGTAGCTTGCAATCGCCACTAGCATTAAGTTATGAGCGCATCCTGGTGGATTGTGGCGAACTCGAGAGCGCACGGTGTAGTTACCGACTACCGTTACTGCTAAGTTAATAACAGAGTTTACAATGCCCCGGGAGTTTGCAAAGATTCATGCTCTAGCTATTCATAACCTCCAATGTTCAGAAACAAATAAGGTCACTTTGAATTCGCAAAAGTAGTATGTGGTAACAATATCGCTAGATACATGACGTGAAGATAAATTCTTCTTTTTACTTTTATGTAATAAAATTAGGAAGTAAGACAGTAAAATAATGACCACTTCATTATTTTTCTGTCTTACTTCCTAATTTGATTATGCTTATTTTAGTATTATTAAAAATTCAAATCACTCTGTGTGATAACTAAAATTTAACACAAAAGAATATTTTTCCATAATACACATCTAGAGTGCGTAAAAAATTTAAAGAGTAGGTATAATGTACGTTTTTATTAAAAACTAAAAAAAAATCATTTAAACTAAGATAATTCATGAAAGGCAATAAAATATATTTAATAGAAATAAAGTAATTATCGGGTTAGACCCAAAAAAAAGACTAACCAAAAACTTAGAATTTGCATTCAAGTAACCAATTAATAAAATAATATAAAAAATATATACGAATTAATAAATAATGCACTTAAGTAAAAACCATAAAGACTTATTACACCATTTACCACAAACGTTTGGTTGTGGCAGGTGAAATCAATTCGAAACTTTGCAGGCTGACGTTGTCAGGATTTCAGGAACGGCGCTACAGAAGCGTCTACGTAATTAGCCAAAAGCGACTGGATTTGCATATCAAAGTGGAGGCATAATTGAACCCCGAGTGCAAATAGCTGAAGTGGAATAGGATCGAGTTAGTTGCGCTCACTGGCAGACTGTAGCGAGCATTATCTACCGTCGTCGGCAGCCCGCTTTCATGTCCGCCCCCGCTCTCGCTAGTGACACGCCCTGAACGATTCGCTCCATGCCGCCAACCTCTCCTGGGATAATTTAATTAATCGACTACGGCACAACAGCAGTAGACTGGGAATGATTTCCTCTTCAGATATCCATTTAACGGCATTATTGTGCCACTCAACTTCTAATTCGATTATGTTTAACATTAGGGATAGATGTTCCAAACATTTATTAATTAATTATATTATAACAACAATTATACGTCATGTATCTATTATATATTATACATATAATAAATTATAGTTGGTAGTACGCAATTATAACACGACATATTTTATAGTTTGTTGTTGACAAGTTTTGTAATCAATAGAACAAAAGCTAAAGGCAAGAATACCAACTTTCATTCTGGTGAATTAATATAAAATAAGCTGTTAATATAAATTAAGCAGCTTCCGCGTTTACTTTTTTTAGATAAAAGGTAGGCTATGTCTGTCTTTGTAATGTAATATATCGTTAATTAATTTTATTAAAATCCATTCAGTCAATATTGGTCAAAAGGTAACGGACAATATCATTTTTAACATATTATCAAGATAAATAGATCAGAAAACAATTTACGCATTATATACGAAAATTTACAAAGTCTAAACGTAAAATTCCATTTAATATTAAGGGATGGATTGCTTAATAAAATACTTTCATACTTAAACGTTCTCAACGGGGGAAATTGAGATAGAGGGTGGGGTGTTTCGGACGGAGAGACTCGGCAGCGAAGCGGCCAGATAATTAGATTAAGGGGAACGTGGACGGGCTCGGCTTGCGGCCGCTTCCGAACAATACTATCAGTCTTTAAAGCTTTCGGATTTGCAGAACTGCCGCTGCTGATTATACATGAGTTTTCACATTTTAAATCTTAGTTGATTCTCAGTCACACTGTATTTTAAATACATTGGTTTTTCTTAATTATTCATAAGTAACATTTTTATTATTAAACTAGTTACTCGCCCCGACTTCACACGAGTGTACATGTATTATATTATAAAAGAAACCGCTCCAAAATCCGTTGCGTTGTTTTAAAGATTTAAGTGTACATAGAAACAGATAGCGATTTTGTTTTTTATACTATGTGAAATGATATTGGTGATAGAAAAAGCGAGTTTCTTTGTAACGTTTGGTTGTCTTAACGGCTAGATCAATTAAATAAATAAATAAGTATAAAATTTGGTATGCCTATACAATTTAGGAAGTAGTATAAGACGTATGTTGCTTAATCGCTAGCAGATGTTGTTGCGGTTAAAATTTGTATTTAATATACTTTTGTAAATTGGTTATAGTTTAATAAACCCATATAATATTTTAACTTAAACTATTAACTAAAATAAAATAAACCAAAGATTATAGAATAAACCCTAATATGTATAGTTTACTCTTTCAATTTTAGGTTTATTTTATGTTAAGCATAAAAATGTGTCATTTTTACATAACGTATGACATAAATGTAAAATAATACATTTATGATTTATATTTCACCGTAGCCATTAGTACTGGAATTATCAACACCGTAGGCGGTGTGATGTATTTAATTACGGGCACTTTCAGGCTGCGCCAATCTAGTAATTACGGAATTGAGCGCCGCCTAACCAGGGTCCTTTGCACTATATTCAGAGAGCGCTCTAAACTCAAACTCTGCATTTGACTCGCATTTCACAACCTGTTGACGAGTTAGTTAAGCCCCTAAAGCGAATGCAATCCTAGTACAAAGCGAGCGACGTTTGCTCCTTCTAACTGCATATTACATTTTGAATTTGGCGCTATAGGTGAGTATGATGTAGCCATTAATAAAAATTGTTTATTTTAATTTTCAATTAGGTATATCAACATTTTTTTCAAGCAATTACTAATATTTTATTTTATTAATATTCTTTACTAATGACAAGAACAAAAATAATTACAGAATGCCAACGTCAGGCGGTAACTAATTATTAATTATTAATGGCAATATACATTAGGTATTGAAGTCATAATCATGTTAGAAGAATATTACTAACCGTGTAAACTTATTACAAATCGCTATGGGATATAATTAATAGAGCCAATTATATTGGACAGGTCTAGTGTGACTAAACAATTAGTAAACAGGTGCAAGGAACATCTCGCGCGGTGTAAGATTAATCATTCGCAACCGAGTCCACCGGTTAATAAACCGGGAACGAACAACTTCGCCACTTACATTACACGGATATTTATTTCCAACGCTGTTTCAACTTTTCCAACTCTCGGAAAGCCAGAGTTGGAGACTGGTTTAATTAATTTACAAGATTCGCAAGTACTGTGATTGTATGGCATATATATGGAGTTTCTTAGACTCACTTTTTGAAAAAGTTTAATATGTTTTAAATAGTTGCTACAACTGTGTTTTAGTAACTTAAAAGCACTTGCCTTATCATCGTCGCCTTCACTATCACACTGTAAAAAGAGAAAGTTGTATATTAACAATTTGCAGATTGGTTAATACTTTATATTTTTTTCACGCAAATACATGCGAATATTCAGAAGTTTATATAAGGCACATGCGTGAACACAAAAACCAGTTACGTCATTAGGCTATACCAGTAAATATATGTACATATAGAAATTCTAAGACCCAATACTAATGAATACAGGCCCCATACCTACGTATAAGCAAAGCGAAAATCATTATTAAAAGGTAAAATTACATTAAATACAATATATAACAGCTAAATAAACAATGACACCGATGATTTTGTTTTACTATCTAGCAGAATAATGCAATTAATATTTTGCACCTTTTGTTACATGGCAGATGGTAATATTTAAGAATTATCCAGTAATAAATTTACTTTACGAGCAATTATATTAATGTAAATACATTAATTACTATTTCAATAAAGATGATTATATTCTTGAATGACGACTTAAGTAAATATAATTACATTATGGTAATGTCATTTCTATTCCAAGACAAGAAAAATTCCAATTCCTATGGGAGAAGAAGCCTATCATCGTATCATAAATCGACGAATACGTTACGTGATATTTACGAGGTAAGTTCGCGCCAAGGGAAACAACAAGGGATCAGGCTGAGATATTACAATTTCAAATAAATACAGAACATGAAGTATTCAGGGCGGGCGCAGGTAATGTTATGTAGTACGGAGCGGCACCGCCTCGACAAATCTCGTGATTTAGCTGCGATACGCGCCGAATATCGAACAGGGACTATGTGTGTTGCGTGATCGGAGTAAATTTGCACACGGTAATCGAAAATTATGGCTATTACGTGTTACGTAATTTTTCTGATACTGGCTTTGGAGTGCCCACTAACAAGTTAATAAATATAAAATCAATAGAGTTTAGGGTTAATATTACTATTGGGAGCATGCCAGAAAGAAACATAAACTAGACAAGGACAACAATGAATGTACTTACGATATAGCCTTTTCCGGAACTACAGCGGCTACTGGCCTGTAGGCAGGAGAGAGAAAGCGAACATATGAGTGGACTGGAATGACTAGGGGAGGTGAAGTCTATCCCGTCTCGCCCTCGACTAGGTCGCTCCAGGCCATTTGTTGTTGACAGATGAGTTAAATATGTGTGGGATTTCTATCCCTTCTCATATATATTTGAATAAATTTAAAAGACTAATAATGAAGTATATTTAAATAATTTAATGAAACTCGTCGTAAGCGAGACGGGAAAATATAATTGCAACGAAATAGAAGACAACAAATGTGTGTATACATGTTGGTATTACAATCTAACAATCAGTACAAACACGACATTAAATAAAAGGTTTAATTCATGCATTTTTAAGAGTTTGCAACGGATATTAAACAGATATAATAGTTGATTTCATTAATCACTGCAACATCGATAGTCTTTACCTACTTATTAGCAAGTGATAAACATAGGTATTTAGTAATAGTCACGCCTTTAGATACGTATCAGTAATTTATACTTATTTTTTTTAAGTTATGGCTTGCGAATAGGTATTCATACTATATTGTTAACCGGTGACGTAGAATTAAAACAGCATTAATAAATACTTACGTCACTAAGACGGTCGCGCGAGGAGTCAGGATCGCGTGGTGCGACTGAACTACCCGTGAGCCGTTCTGATGCCCGGCCACTATCATCCGACGTACCAGCGTCTTGAAGCAGCGTAATGCCCTACAAAATATACATACGATATTCATTCTTTGATACAAAACTCTGTATTAGTTGCGGTATGTATACTATTTTAACTTGGATAATTTTCTTTCAAGTCCTCAATCAAAAGGAGGTTATTTAAAGATGAAAATTGACAAAATGAAAGCGAATAAACAATATTTCCCAACAGACGCAAGCTGTAATATTAAAGACCTGAAAACTCGTGTACTGATACTTTAAGAGTTCAATTCTATTGCAAAGGGGATCAGAGAGGGTAAGATTTTTATATTATATAAGCTCACAAAATTGAGCGGTAACTAGGATATAAGAAAACTTGATAAGACGGGAGAGTAAGGGCGCAGAGGGATGAGAAGAGCCGACCCATAACGTGCCCGAGGTTCGACAATAAAAAGAGTTTTCCATTTATCACATTTCGCGTCTATTTTACGGTAGGGTTCGAAAGGCGTGCGCTCAAGCGGGGGAAGCGACTGATGCTCAGCGACTAGCGTTCCCCGGTACCGGCAAAAGAAAATAAAACGAGTATAACTTCTCTGTAAATGGATAACTCCCCGACCGCCCTCTCTCAATGAACTTCCACGTTATTATTACTTGAAGAAGTTTGCGTCCAATTTGATTTGCCATTCATTTTTATGGATAATAAAAATGAATAACATGACTGTGTTGTAACTTTATCAGAATAAGTCTTCAATAATTGTATGATCGTGTATAATAAATGGGTATAAATGGTTATTGATTCTAATTATGCATAATTAAATATTTTTTTAAATACCTACGGCTTTTTTATGGGATATAATTAAAAAAGACAGACATTAATGTAAAAAAATAAACTTACTAAAATTCGTTAGCAAATTTTCGTCATAATACAAAACGGTTAAAGGTTCGCGATTGGAATTCTGCTTGAATCTCTCACAACTATACGAGCGTAGAGGCCATTACTCGCGGCCGGTTTAGGTCTATATAAATGGTGCCGGTTCCGGGAGTGGTCGTCGACCGGAACGAAATCTCAAAATGCGCTGTATCCGCGTACGTTGTAAATTGATCATGCCAATATTGAAAGGCATCCGACAGAAATAAATGAATAATTTGTTATGTATTAAAAAAACTATGACTGACAACATTTAAATAACACACGTTATGTTAATAGTTTGTACTCTTGAAAACCTTTTCAACGTTGAATTGGTCTGTGTATTTGAAAGTCAACAAAAAGATACACTTCCCACGATTATATACCCAATTCTAATAAAAGGAATTGGTTTTGAACCCTTTACGTAGACAAACGAGGCGAGTAGAGTTGCACATATCAATTTAATCCGTGACGCCAAGTCCCGCAAAATCCCTTTAATCCCGAACCGGTGTCTCGTTCGGAGATGTAACGCAGGATGTTACCACATAATTACTTTTCCTCATTACAGTTCTCCTCAATTATAATGGACTTTCATGTGACTTTCTCAACTACGTATAGGCTTCCAATGAACTTTGTTGATCTGTAATTTATTTTAAGACTGTTGTGGAATATGTAATACAATACATATGTAATATATTGTGTGTTTATAGTCATAGCACTAGTCAAAATCAATCAAAGAAATTTCTTTAAATGTGTAACGTTCCATACCTTTATTTTCAGTTTATCGTTATAATTTAAAAATATAACATATTTCATTATGATTATTCACTAATTTGTTTATATATTTCTTGTTACTTTAATGCTTAAAGAATCATGTTAATTCAGACTTGAAAGTTTCAACAAATATATAAATAAATTAGTAGAAGTTACACTACTAAAATTTATCTTTATCTTATTATTCTTTGATTTATTTACACTTGAAGTACTACGTACCTACTACTTCACTCAATCATGAGTAGGTAGTAGTATTCTCGTACTTTACTGTCAAGTTCGACGACAAAATTTTAGTCCATGTTCGTACATTGATTTAAATTTTATATATGTATAGCAATATATAATATAAAAAAGTACATAATACCTACATACCTATATACAATGTGAAAGTAGACAGACGTTCAAAGTCATGTTAACCGTCTATTACCTAAGAGACCAGTTAAGAAAAGACATGCTGTTACTGGATGCATGCTGGTACATACATAACACGAGTCGTAAAAGTAAAAGATGTACAAATATGTAAGAATAGCCATTCGTCATACAATTTTGTCTGCATGCTCCTTAGGTATTTATTTATTTTATTATAGTACTAAAATATATACGTATTTGAGTAAACGGGATAGAGCCAACCAGTCCTTTGTTTCTCCATATCCACTCAAATATTGAAAAGTACGTAACGGATCAGATCTGGAATGAAGATAGATTATATAAAAAGCATATTACTATGCATGCTTAGAGACTACAATATTTGCATGTCCAATATTAAATTATAAAATTGTTTGTTACTGTTTTGTATTTTCATGAAATTATATCGCAGACATAATCATTATTAAAGAAAGTTATAATCAAGACTGAAGTCGTACAATTGTGCGAAGTACTGATCATTTCTTTATGACAATTGCGTTGGGTTGTTCGGTGGAGAGGTGGTCGGTGGTGGTGGGAGGTGATCGTGTCCAACCGGCGACACAACCGCTAATTGAAACAACGACCGCGGCCGAACATTACTTATTCATGAGAAGTCCATATGGCGGTGAAACGTGACCAACGAGATAAATCATTCAATTACATTTTTCATGAAGGAATATATGGGCACTACGTCGTACATTTATTTGTCGAGGATACCTGCATATTAATATCACTTTATGGGGAAACAAAATTAACATATTGTAATGATACTGCTTGAGTGTCACAATAATTTCGCTATTATGAATGCTGGCCAGTTTATCCGGTTGTTTACGTAGAGGACTCAGCGTTTCTACAGCTTATTTATTTACTATCATAAATCTCATTGTACAAGATAAGTGGCGTAATCTTGCCGATTATTTATCAGTGTCGTTAAGACATAGCTGTAAATCGGTGCAGTGAGAATGTAGTTGCAGAGTAGCAGAGTTTGGTGTCGTTGAGTGTTGCATTGCATAATTTATTTATGTTGTAGCACGTATCTTCCTCGTAAGTTGTCGGTGATGGTAAAAAGTTATTCTAATTACGGTGAACTAAACAACCACAATGTTTTGAAGAGTTACAGATAGTATGTAGTTAACGTAACGTTTTTAAGTAATAGACAATTAAGTTATTCACTTTTCATTGCGAGTGTAGAATATTAAATATAAAATAATATTAAATAAAGTTTGCACAGGTATGCGCCTATAGGATTTGAAATAATACGAGTAGGTACATGTGAGGCGTGCTCCCGTAAGCCGAGCGCGTGCCTTCACAGCGGATCAATCAGATCTGACGTCGACATCAAGCGGCGTTAGCTAGCGGCATTTTCGATTGAAATTTCGCGACAGGCCGTTTTCGTATTAAAATTGTACAGCTACCCGGTCAATTGGAATTGTTATTCAATCAACATTGCCACGATATTGAATCCATTACGTCGCTATTAAAAATTCATTTGAAAATATCTTTTTACATTTCAAATGTTGTGTGGCTTGACTTGGATAACAAGTACAAGTCGATTATTTGTCGCATTTGCCGTGCTACAATCGACTAAATCGTGAATAAAACCTGGTACTAATAAAAATAAATTACAGAACATTCCTTGTTAATATTTATTTTTATTGGTTTTACTTGTCGTATTTTCAACATAATATTACAAGAGATAAACTCTCTTGGGATATACAAAAATAATACTCTCACAAGTAACTCTTCACAGTACAGTACATAAATATACATATATAAGTTACAATCAGTTATACTGGAGTGTTATATTGTCACTGTCACGTTTTTGCACGCCGACTGCATATTTATTGCTTACAATACGTGAAGTAAATAATGGATACTAGCTAACAAACTTCTATAATACATCACAAGATACCTACATTGTAACTAGAGGACAGTTATATCGAATTAAGTTCTTTATTTTTTTAGTAAAAACTATAATATAATCAATATACTACAAGTCAAAGTGAAGTACAATGGGCGGGCCAACCAACTGGAATTGAAAACCGATAGGGAAGACAGATAGGTACTCGAGTGGCCACTTCGAAAGGGTAAATGTGAATAGTGACATCCAACTATGTAAATGGAACAACAACTTCAAATGTGTTATTGGAAGTCGAATAGTCCATAGGTTACCATAGAAAGGGAGTAAATAATTAGTTTTTATGGAAAGAGCTATCTATAATTTACTATATAAACATAAAAAAATCATAGTTAATTTTATTAATGTTAAGTACATATAGGTATTTGTATATATATATATATATATATATATATATATGTATACTCGACAATATAATGAATTGATTGATTGCGTAGATGTAAGTTAGATCTATATTAACATGGCTTAAAGTGTAAATTTGAATTTACATATGGAATATATAATACATATGTGTCCATGTTTTAAATAAAAGGCACGACATGAACTGTCTTATAAACAAATCTGTCTGAAGAGAGAATAAAGAAGTCAAAGGAAATTATTATATACCGCTATACACATATAAATATATATATAATATTACATTAGAAGAACAAAAGTTTTTCATTTCAATTCGTATCCTTTCAATTTCACATTATACGAACACTGCTGCAATAATACTAAACCTTATTACGTTTTATTGTTTGCTCGTCTAGAAGAATATGAAATTTACAAGAAAAAGAGACATTTCAGTAATAAGAATGTCAGAATATTTAAGTAATAGTCTTCTTAAGAATCTTTATTTAACATAATGTACATATTTACTGCTTAAATCAGAATTTTCGTCTTCACTTTAAGATTCATCATGTGAGATAACAAGTGGCGCCATCTAGCACACAGACGATAAACTGATCCCAATTCTCATCAAATCTACTATAAACGGAGTTAAGCAAAAACGTTTTAAATCAATATAAAGTTTTAAGATGTGGTCATAGGTATAAATTAAATAAAAAATATAATTCATTACGTACGTTTAAACTTAAGTGTATTATTTTTATTTGCAATATATGTATTTATTTTTATGAGGCAAGTAAGATTCCAAATAAAATATTTTAATTGGTAGAGTGATACAATTATTTCACTTATTTAACAAAAATATTTTCCAGTTAATTAAAGATAATATTATCATAAGTGGTCTTTCAGTAATGGACTATATATTATAAGGAGGGAGTGGTGGTATTGTTATAATTTCGTATGTACATATATGTATAGTACAGATTAATAAAGTAAAAGACAAATTTATATGAGGATTCTTATTATTTGACGGCCTCGTGGTCTAGCGGTCTAGCACACCGCTTTACGTCCGATGGTCGCGGGTTCGATTCCTCGCACGGCACAAACATTTGTATTCATGAGTATGATTGTTTGTATCGGTCTGGGTATTTTCTATGGCGCTGTGTGAATTGTCTTGAGATTATTATTATTATTATTATTCTTATATCCTTATCCTTCACCATTTGAAAGATAATTCAGAGGCTCGTAGGCTATAGAAAGCTTAAGGGAGCCTATATTAGGTTATTTAAAAATGACAAAGCCATAATAGAACGGTAAAATTAAACGGAGACAAAAAATATCGGAAAGTAAAAGATTCTTTTAGTCAAAGACATCTAACGCCGATATAGGTACATGTACCTAAGTGAACTGCAATATCAGTCGGAAGAAACGAATAAAAACAGTGCGGTGTCGGGCTTGTGGCCGCTCGCCAGTTTTCTAGAGACAACACAATAAAGAGTCGGTCCCAACCAAATCTGCTTCAAGAGGTTTTATGTTCTGTCATTATATTAACATTTATAAATAATAATAATAGAGCTTTTTAAGGGGTATTCAAGAAGAATTTTGTCAACATTTAACATTGTCACATTAGCGTATAAACAGTAGACTTTGTGGCGATTTACTCTAACTTTGTAGTAAGCGAAGGCGTAATTTAATGATTACGTATGACACACGGAGATTCAATTTGCTATCGAATATAATATAGTTCTATTCGATAGCAAATTGAATCTGCGAAGAGCTATTAGCCGACACCACAGCGGCGTGGGGGCTCCCAGCAGCACGTGCCAAACGATCGTGCTCATTCCTCGCTCGACGTTGTTTAAGCCGTGATATAGTCGACAAACTGCAAGAAATCCAAAACAAGCTGGCTACAAATAAAACTAAACGTTACCGCACATTGGTTAGCTACAATGTTTCTTTAACTATCGCAATGGACGCTTCATGTGGTAAATTTATTAACAGGCTTTCCTATTAACATAGAGCTCTAATTTACGACTTTTCTTTCTCGACCACTATTTGCTTTAGCAGAAGTTAATAGAGATTCATTTATGAATTACTGTTTATTACCGATTATAAACAATCCTATACAGAAATATACTTTCTTTAGGGTAATGAATGTAACTGTAACTTAATATTTTGTTTCAAATAAATAAGAGACGGTACAACAAAAGTTTACTATTCGAAAGGTGAAAGTAATAACATAGGTACATAAAATGTCTACTTATGTTGGATGGTTCGATATTGAAGTCAGCATAATTTATTCTTTCGTCGTCGGAGCAAGATTTTCCGCTTTATTCGAGCAGCAGTACGAGCGGTGGGAGGCAAATTGGATGGGATTGCGACATATCTTGGCTGGCGGCGGCGAACTGTCGAAATGCACGGGGGAGCATAGAGGGTAAACTGCTCACATTCCGCCTAAGAGTGCTCTTTTGCATCGGAAGAAATGTAAACCTATTTAAAGTTGAAACGTACACTTTTAGTGAAAACAGAGCTATTCAACCGAGTAATACTGATTCTTAAAAAGGAGAAATGACAGTTGTTGTCATTAATATTTTTATGGGATGTATGCGTAATAAGCGTGACATTTATAGAATTTACACGTATACACTCTGGCTTTAAATAATAAAGAGATGACATTGAGTTAAAAATATAAATGTTTAAAATTGTGAAACGGCGAACGACGGCGGTACGTTAACCAAATAAAGCTTTCATGTGGGGCAATATTGAGCTTTAAGCCCGTCGCCACGTCAGGTCATCACCGCTTCGGACAGACCGACTCGTTTAATAATTTCACAACGAGAATTGCCGCGATAATCTTTCACGAATTCGTGTACGCAAATTATTTTTGCAGCTTTTTATTCTGTAAACCAACGGAGTATTGTTTTATTATTGTAATAGTGTTAGTAAAATGGGTATAGTTACAGTTAGTTGACATTTATTTTATTTTAGTCTCTTTTGAAGCGATTTCGGTATTTTGGCGTATAATATTATTATTATAATTCTGTATAAATATAATTCAAACGCCATTTCACTCGTATGCTGTATAAATTATTTCATATAAAGAGACTTTATACTAATTCTATCGTTATAAATAAGGTGTCAAAAACGGCAAAGCCTTTAAATAGTTTACTGAAAATATAAGTTTAAGACTAATTTAACTGCCGTTTATCATCGTTCTATAGCTGTTAATGGTTTGGTAAACTGTTGAATATAAGTAAATAAAGTGGGCATTTCATGCGTGTTGGTTTAGAAGCCAGTGCGGAGATGAGGCGAGGCGCGTTGACAAGCCGAGTGGCAGTTTGCATACGTTTTATGCGAGAAAGCGTAGCCCGGAAGAGGTACAACGATGGCTTACGGATTTAGACTTGCTGCATTTAGATGTGTGAAATCACCAAGAGCATTAAACGTTTAATGCAGGATAAACGATCAAGTTTAATTTAGTTTCATTTATAATACTCTGGTAATACGCTGTATTACCAAGGGATTAGAAAGAATTAGAGGTATGTTGTCAATAGTAAAAATAACACTCAAATTTCACTTTCTAAACGACTGACATTGAAAATGTTCATGTTTTTTTTTACCTAATTATATGTTACAGTGATTTTCTTATCAAGAGGCAATTTTAAGTTCTCTCTATGTTTTTATTATTCATATATTATGACAGCTATCGCGTAATTCACATACACCTATAAATATTTTTTATTGTAGATACTTATATGCACGGAATTTTTACAACGACAGAAAAAATAAAAATCTATTACTAAAAAAAATTATATATTTTCAATCAATGTACATTTACACAGACAGACTCCCAGTTAACAATAATCATTGTGTATGTACCTACGACCGAACTAAATAGCAAACTACAACATCAAAGTGCAACATTTAATTAACTAGCTAGGTGTACTTACATGAGAGTTGACATTGTTGGGCGGGTGGTTGCGCGGAGTGTCGGTTGCGAGCGCCGCCAATGGCAGCCGTGGCTTTGTTGACAGCGCATTGGTGCGTGGCGAAGAAGCACATTTTACAGCAGCCTGTCGACAATTGATTCGATTATTCATTACTGGTATATACTTATATGATGTTTATAGTAAAAGGTAAAATTTTCATCATGCGGTTTTGTGAGACCACACAGTTCGCAGAAATACAGCTTGTATAACTGATAACGATAAAAAAGTACTGTCGAATTGATTACTGTCCTCTATTGATTCTTATTAAGGCGGCTAACTCTACAGTGTTATATTAAATAATTTAACGTATTGCTTTCCTAAATATAAATATAGTCACTTCGCGACTTTATAAAGCTCAACTCAGACACTGCCGTCTTCACTAACACGATAATTTAAGCAAATGAACTGCGAGCTCCTCCGGGCTGACTCATTTGCTAACTTAGTAGGATGCCTTGTCGGTACCGCAGTGTACGAATTTTCAAGTCTAACTTAGTGATATTATGGTTCCACTTAATCATACTTAGTCTCGTCCGTTTGGCTGACTATGCATGAACGCGAGACGCGAGAACATTTTAAGTACCTAACTAGTTTCTCGTTTAGTAGTAACTTTGCATGTTACGAGTAAAGAACTTGTAAATCTCGTAGCCATCTTGTCGGCTACAAACAGTAAACGTAAGATTACCTCTGTTGTAAAATATACAAAAAATATAATATTATTTTTTTACAGTATTTCTTTGCTATTCTCGGAACATTAGCTTCCAGATAATATCTGCGACATTAAAAAAAAACACAAACCAAACTGGTTAAACCACCAAGAAGATATAGGTACGGAAAAAAATTGAACTTTGAATCATAATTTCATAAAATGATTTTTTTTAAATTATGTGTAAAGTGTTAAGTTTAAAAGTTAAATCGTTATTCAGTTGATACTTTTTGAGATAAATAAGATAATATTTATTGGATTGTTTATGATAACTGATCGATGTCGAATCATAGAGCAGAATGTTAACTTTTAATAAATATTATGTATAGTATAATATTATAAAGAAAGATTTGTATTTGCAATTTTTTTATTTAAATAAACTCAAAAACAACTGGTACTATTTTTTTAATTCTTTCACATTTAGTTACTACATTAACCCATAACAAAGGATATTTAGTACAACAAAATAATAGTGATCCCAACGAGTCGGAACGAGCGTCGATTTGTACTTCTTATATAAAACTATACTATGGAAACCTAATAAATATAAATAATTGTTTCATTGCTAAACTAGAAAGAGGTACTTATTTTTATACATACTAAAATAACTAGAAATAAAACTTCGCGCGACGGCCTTACAGGTAACAGTGTAGAACACAATATCATAATTTCGATGATTACGGGTTTGATTCCTCGCACGATACATACTTTTGTATTCGTAAGTATGATTATTTTTATTTGTCTGGGTGTTTCCTATGTAATTTATAGACATAATATATTTGAGATATACCGGTGTATGAATTATCCAATAAGTAAAAATAAACAAAAGTCATATGGAAGATGTGATTATTTAAGTAAAATGATAAAAGTCAAATTATAGTAGAGTCAAAATATACACACATTCATCGATTGACCAAAAAGTTTTAACTTCTCGTTCAGAATGTTTACAGATAAATTAGTACAATTTAAACAGGACTCTCATCGGTGTGTTCCAACAAAGACGCTTCCTTGAACGCGATACGTGTTTGCGACTTTGGTACTGTAACATAATTAATTCTGCGCTTTAGAGTTTCATTTAAACGTCTTACTGACTCGTGCGACACATAATAACGAGGGATTCTACGTGACGACACAGCATTGTGTAATTATGAATGAAGAGGGGTTTTTACCCCCATCAAATAAGCGCTATGTGTATGGATTAATGACATTGTGAATAAATAACTAGTTTAAACTGTTGATTTATGTAGACAAAAATTTAATTACTATTCATTACAGATACTATAGCACTACATACAGCAGTTCATATATTAGATATAAATTATAAGTAATAGATATTAAAAATAATACAAAACAGATACTTTTTTAAACAGGTCTGATATAATTTAACCAGATGTAGTTAATAATAATCATATATCAAGACAATTCACACAGCGTCATCTAGTCCTAAGCTAAGTAGAGCTATGATGTACTGGACAATTGATACAAATACGTAAATAAATAATATACAAAGAAAATACCCAGGCCAATGCAAACAACCATACCCATGAATACAAATGTTTGTACCGTGCGAGGAATAAACCCGCGACCATCGGAAGTAGGTACTATCTATATACTATAGTAACTACTGGTGGTCAGTAATGGTCATATTTTAATTTAAAAATATATTTAAATATTTGTAAATACTTGGATTTTCGTAATAATCTGGCCCTTGGCAAAATTAGTACAAACAAGGTTTCCCACTGACACATATTCGTGTGAATAAAAAAATGTCCAACGTCCATCAGGTCGAATGGCGTGGGGCGCCGGGAGCACAAAAGGATGGGCGAGAGGGGGGCCATTACCATAACCATTATGCGATATTCAGCGCCACCGACACGACAACTGAACTAAACGACAGATGCCGGCGCTTGTAAGATCGCGTAATAAAAACTGATTCCAGCACCTCTGACTAATTTTCACGTTAAATGCGACATTTAAAAAAGTCGTAAAGTTTTTATTTCTTTCCACTTAATTAAATATTGCTTGTTCATTAAACAAAAACTTACAAGTTCAGTTTACATACATTTGCCGTGCGGATATTATTAATAATGATAAGAATAGTGGTCTTTAAAATATTTTCCGTATATAATTTGCACAATGGTCCCAACAGTCAACATCTGCTTTTAACAGACAAAAGAGAATATCGAAAGGTACACGCGTAACCCTTCACCCCTTGTTAATAAAACGTGAGGGTGTGGTGGACTGGTGCGAGCGTCGGTATTAGATTTGGGGTAGAGTGGTGTAAAACACGGGAACTATTTAAAGATATCATCGGATGAAAAGTGGCTCGTGCTTACTCCGTGTAACAATTGTTAGAGGGATGCACGATCAAATATGAATAGATAATATTCTACGCACGCATCTTAAAGACTATAGTTCACATGGTTATTAAATATAAATAATATATATCACTAAAAGACAAGAGACAAAATGCATTGACTGTATGTATTATTCGGACTTGTCATTTGTAAAATTATTACTTACATAAGACAGCAGAATAAGTTATATATGATTATAACATTTACAACAAATATTTCTGTATTATTATTTTTATTTTGCAAAATTTATTATATGTTTAAACGCGTATTAAATTGAGACTATACTGCTTGAGCAGTAATAGAACAAAAATATTGACGCTCTTTTCTTATAATTATTATGTGTGAAACTAAAAGATGATGTTAATAAGACACTTTTGTCGTCAAAAAAAAAACACATTATTTGCAGTTTTCGAACAATTTGTGTAAACTTGTATAGCATTTTCTTTAAAATGTATAAACATAAATATATCTATAATACATTACGAATAAAAATAATGACTCCGATTTCAAAGTATTCTGCAAAACCTTCAAAAGATATAGTATATATCTATCTCTTGAATTTTTGTATAGTTCACTGTTAATGGGTCGTCAGTCAAAGATTAATTTAATATGCCAATAAACTAAAAAACTTAAGGTTCAGTTGTCGCAAACCGTTATCTTAATCTTAATAATAATATTATAAACGCAAAAGTTTGTATGAATGTTTGTTACTCTTTCACGCAAAAACTATAATATAGCTTAACAACCAGAATAACACATAGGCTATAAATTTCATGCAGACGAAACCGCGGGTTAGTTGTTCTAGAAATTAAATTAATCAAACGTAATTACTTGCTGAATTAATGATATTCTCACATTATACATTAAATCAAAGTATAAATGTACACGTTAATCATACTCGATGTCTGTTGTAATTTTAAAAACAGTAAAGTACTTAACAAAATAAAAATTAACAACTTGGAGATTTAGAGCACACTAATTAAGTTGTCGCCATTATAATGTCACGAAACAGCATTTACAGGTTGCTAGCGACAAACAATTAGCCCACAGCTCAATAACTGAAATTACGCGAGTCGGTACGCGTTAACTTACGGTTTCTTTACATCACCTCAGCCGGTCGGACAGCCTGCAGTCACTCATTTACTATAATTGCTTATACTCATAACGAATTAATGACTAATGTGACAGTATCGACACTGACATTACGAAGACTAATAAGTATGGTGCCGTTATAGTAATTTGTCATATTGACAAATCATTAGCTAAGGGCATATTGAATTGCAATACATCAATCATCGAATTGATCATTGCACAAATACATCGGGATCACTTGAAATATATCTATATCGAATCACCTATTGTTTAGCCATTAAGTATAATTTTCTAACCTTTCGGAAGTATGGGCTAACTGACCTGACCTAAAGGTCGTCTTATCACTCTCCACTGGAGGCTATAGACCATTGTATTATCAACCATTAAAAAAAATATTTGGAAGTTGCAATTGAATAAAAAACTGCACAGGCATAGGTATACATTCATACAGAGCGTAGTTATTGTTGATGTGACTTGTTTGTAAGACTCGAGATAATAGTAATTGTTGTGGACACGCTCAATTACCCTCGACAAGCGGCGGTCGCAAACACAATTTACCGGTACGTTTCTATTATTTAATCAATGCAAATAAAAAATAATAGACTGGTAACATTTGTTTTAATTATTAGCCTCGCTCACCCCTTTAATAATATGGTGTTTTAAATAATTGCCCGTTATCGTGGTCAAGTATGCTTCATGACTAATTTGAATTTACATACGAATGGCTTTTTACATGTACACCATGAGCTGCTATACGGCTGCTATATGCTGGATATACGGAATATTTACAAAATTTATGGATTTATGTGCAGTTTAGAGTTTTTGAGCGGTAAATAATATTTTATATAATAGTGAATACACAGAAGGTAAGAGTTTCAGGTTAGTAGAATAAATTATTACTTGAATTATAAATCAATAAAAAAATGTTATTG